AGCCGGGAATCCTGGCCATTTCCCGCAACTGACTGCAGAGAGGCCATTTGTCTTAGGCTCCTAGACTTCCAGGTCAGGAGGCACCATCGTGATGATCTAGCCTGACCTTTGGCACATTTTAGACCACAGAACCCTATCTGTTCACTCCTGAGCCATTTGTTCCCTTCCTGTGCCTCCCAGCTTGACATTGACCCAAGGCTCAAAACTCCAATGACCGACCCAAACACTCAGGAATTATGGGACCCTTGTTTGTGGTGGCTTTTGGATGAGGTGTCTATGCTTCAATAGACTTCAATCCCCACAGCCGTGATAACATTTGAACCCAACATAGCAAAGGATGCAGGGAAGGAAGAGAAGGAAATTGTGAAAATTCAGGACTTTGAGCCTGTTTCCAGAGCAAGCTTGACTTGTGCGGCTTGTGGAGCAGGAGCGCGCGAATGGAGTGGGGGTCAGATTTGCATCCCTGAGAGTGGATGGCACATGTGACTAAGCGGATGTATAGGAAAGGTTCTTTGTAACTGGTCAGTGGAAGGGATATAAATGACTGCAGTGCCAGGCGACATGTGTGAAACACGAAGCAAGCGATGCATCGGCTGCCATTGCAGGAAGCATGGTGGTGTGCGAGGGGTCAGGAAAGGAAGGTGCCACAGACTCTGAGGTCTGGACCTGCAAAGCCCTGAGTGTCCACGGTGCTACGGCTCTGCTGGATTTTAACTTGCCCTCTTGTCCCATCTTCCTGGGCCAACGCTGTTTCCCTCCTCCCCAACTCCCAAATGTTTGGGCTAAAAACTTCTTTTGAACACACAAGCTAAACTTCTCCTTGCTGACGCTGCCCCACAAGGGCAAGGTGAGAACAGAGCAGGCTTAGGCACCTCCCTCCTACCTCCCCCCCACCATTTGCTACAGTCCCCACTGTTACCACCCTAGCAGTGAAGGGAGAACCAAGAGGATTTAAACCCTTGCCAGTCCTGCTTCCGACATTGCTGGCCTCAGCCTGCCTGACCTAAATAGTTCCATAAGCAGGTGGGGTGACCACTTAAAAGCTGTGCTGCAAATCCAGCTGGCCCGTTCCCCGCAGCTTTCACTGCTAGTCCCTCCAGGGATGTTGGTTTGGTCCCACGAGATGTTACTGGCAACAGAGCGCATGGTTCTCCGCCCAGCGTGTACCTCTGAGCATGGTGGGGTGAGCCGAGGGAATGAATATCTTAGCTACGGAGTCAAAACTTCCCCAGGCCCCAGCTCTGGCAAGTGGTGCCTCTGTCAAAAGCTGGACTTGCACCAACACCAGAGGGAGAGGAGGGGGCATGGCCCATCCCTTCTTCATGATAGGGCCCAGGTCCTGCCCCCCCTTTTCCCTGGAAGCTCCCCCAAGTCCAGCCAGAGGCTGGGACCTGCACCCTGTCCTGTGGGCCCCAGTCCATGGCTTCCCACAGTTGCCCACCCACACCCCCTATCCTGCCGTAGTGGCCGGCCGCCAGCCATTACAAAGGG